GTTTCAGGCTAATAAGGAAATGCAGAAGTTGGCTAGAATCTGCTATGAATACTTTATCTAGACGTTTGTGCTGGAGCACGCTCAAAGAAGGTTCTCGAGAGAATGCATTTTATTGTACCGGGGACTTTGTTTTTTCGGCCATTGAAATGATTTGTGTTTGGAAATGAGAACTATTTTTCATTTTTGACCAAACTTTTCATGAAGTCTGAACATCCATGTTTATGAAATCCAGCTGTGACATCATTAAGTGGTTTCTACTATAAAAAAATAAAGTAGTAGTCAAAGAAGAAACAATATAAAATGCAATGTATTTTAGGGAGAAATGTCTATTCAAGTCCCTTGTCCAATCTTTTCCACAGAGTTACTTATTTGGTATTTTGTTTTGTTTCATTTTTGTTAGTTTTTTTTTGGCATTCTTTGGCATTGGAGGGGTTCCTTGTGTATTTTAGATATCAACCCCTTATCAGCTATATGGTTTACAAATATTTTCTCCCATTCTGTAAGTTGTCTCTTCGCCCTGATGATTTTTTCTTTGCTGTGAAGAAACTTTTTAGTTTGATATAGGCTCACTTATTTATTTTTGCTTTTGTTGCCTGTGCTTGGATGTCATATCCCTGAAATCATTGCCAAGACCAATGTCATGTATCTTTTTCCTGTGATTTCTACAGTTACAGGTCACATATTCAAGTCGTTCATTCATGTTAATTTCATTTTTGTATATGGTGTGATATAAGGAGGCCACTTCTATTTTTTCTATGGGGATATCCAGTTTTCCCAAAACTATTTGTTGAGGAGACTGTCCTTTCCCCTCCATGTGTATTCTTGGCAGCTCCCAGAATGAGGGTTGCCCACATGCATGTGGGTTCATTTCTGGGCTCTTCATTCTGTTCCATTGGTCTGCAAGTCTGTATTTATGCAGGTAGCTTAGCGTTTTGATTACTGCAGCTTTGCTATTTATTTTAAAATCAGAAAGAGAGATACCTTCAACTTTGTTCTTTTCCAAGACTGTTTTGGGTATTTGAGGTCCTTTCATATTTATTTTACATTTGTTTTTTCAATTTCTGTGAAAAATGTCATTGGGATTTTGATGGAGATTGCTTTGAATCTGTAGATCACTTTGGGTAGTATGGACATTTTAACAACACTAAGCCTTTCTCTCCTTGTGGAGAGTAATATCTTTCTATTTAGTTGCATCTTCTTTAATTTCTTTCATTAACACTTTCAGTGTCCAAGTCTTTTACCTCCTTAGTGAAATGTATTACTAGAATGAAAAATCAACCTAAAAGAGGAGAAAATATTTGCAAACCATTAATTTTATAAAAGGTTAAAATCCAGAATATACACGGAACTCCTACAACTCAAGAGCAAAAAAATCAAATAGTCTAATTTTAAAAACTGGTAAAAGACTTGAACAAACATTTCTCCAAAGAAGACATCAAAATGGCCAAGAGGAATATGAAAGGATGCTTAATATCAGTAATTATCAGGGAAATGCAACTCAAACCCTCAATAATCTATAACCTCACACCTGTTAGGATGGCTGTTATCAAAAAATCAAACCAAAATAAGAGATAAGTGCTGGTGAGTCTGTGAAGAAATTGGAACACTTGTGTATTGCTCATAGAACTGTAAAATGGTGTAGCTACTATAAAATAAATATGGATGTCTCTCAGAAAACTGAAATAGAATGCTTCTCGCCCTTTTGGCTAAGATCAAGTGTAGAAAACTAAAATAGAATTACAATATGATCTGGCAATCTCACTGTTGGGTAAATTCCCAAAAGGAAAGAAATTAGTAAATCAAGATGATCTCTTCCCTCTCAGGTTTGCTGTACACAATTCACAACAGTGAAGACATGGAACCACCTTTTGGAGGAAAAGGCTTTAATTTCACTAGAGAGGAAGCAAATGAATGGACAGTGAAAAGGCTGGAGCAGTTGCTTGGAGGCCAACAAGTGCCAAGGAGGGGAGAGGAGGCTGAGTTGGTCTAAGGGTCAACAGTGCTTTGAGACCAGGGCTGCAAGTCACAGCTCCCTGTGCCCACAAACTGGTGCATGCTTCTGAATTCCAAGGCAACAGCTACATGGGATTTGTTGTGGAGGGGAATTGCTCAGGTAGCTTCAGAGGGCTATGGAAGTGGTGATGTGACAGATGTCAGACACAGAGTCTCCGAAAACCACAGCCTCTGCCTTGGAATGAGAGGCCACAGTCAGACATTGCAGCCTTATTTCAAGAGCAGCAGTGCATGGAGCCAAGCAGATGTGTGCCTGTGTCCAGTGTCATGCCTCCAATGGCAATCCCCTTGGTCTCAGATAGTTTCATTTGATTGGGTGTGACTCTACTAAATGTGACTTGTCAATCTGCGTCTCAGCCAACAAAATTGGAGGCCACATTTCTGTGATTATTTTTCAAAAATAGTGTTACTTCTGCCTACTGAAACACAGGGACATGGGATTGTGACCAAAGATGGATTCCCCTGCAAGCCAAGAATACTCCTGGATCATGATAAAGAACTGAAGAATCCAGTTTTTTTAGGACAGGTAATCAGCATTCTAATGTAATAAATCTAGAACAGCAGCGGGAAACATTTGTCCAGTTGTCTTCATTTGTTCTTGACACAGAGGTATCCATGTGAAAGATGTTTGGAGTCATGGAAGCTCTGATGGCCAGTGGGCCCACAGATGTCTGCGTGGGGTTGGGAAGGTCTGTGAGTGGCCACTCTCCCACACCCCTCACCCCCCACCGACAGTAGCTTCATCCTGGGTTCTTGGGCATTTTCCTAAGGACAGTGTCCTCTGACACGTAATGAGGCGCTACCTGTCGGCTTCTATATCCCACTGCCGTGATCCCAGCATGTCAAAAAGGGAATTGTGATGTTTCTGTGCACTATGTGAGCATCATCTTTGTTTTCAGGACATATTTAAAGAGTTGGCAGAGTACAGAATGGCTCTTCTATTATCATTAAAGTGTTCCCTTCACCCCGAAACCAAAGCCTTACAGTCCATTGTTCCCACAGATTCTAGTGAGACCCTGCAGGGCTGCCAGACTCACTGAAAGGCACTGCTGAGTTGCCCTTGGGCTGCCACTAGACTGGCCCACTGCCGTGAACTGTTAGGACACTGCCGCCTGCTGGCCAGAGGCCTGGGCTACTGCTCTCCCACAGGCCTGTGGACTTGTGGCATGTCTGAACAAACTGACCTTTTGTTCTGTACCAGGTAGAGTTGGGTGTCCAGGAATTGCCTGCCCCTCAGCCCAGGATCAACTTGGATTTTATGGACTGTGAAGTCTGATTATACCCAACTTTTTTTGTTGCCCAAAGAACAATTCTTTGAGCTGAACCTTGTTAGCCTGCTACCCATAGGAGAGGGTGCCAGTCCCTGCAGCCCTGTAGTCCAGGGTGTCCCCTTCATCACTCACCACCCTGTCCAAGCCTGAGTTTCCATGTAGAACCACTGCCTCTAACTTAGCAGGAGATGTGTCAGCCCCAAACTGCATATGATGAAATATTTTAAGCCTGTTATGGAATATTCTAGGGCCAATCATGCCTTCCTCAGAGACAGCATCTTGAGCTAAAATTTCTGCTCCCCAAACCTGCATGACTCTTAGAGATCAGCCACTGTCTCTTCAAGGTGATGGGAAGTCACATAACATGGAGATCATCGTGGGACCTGGAGGCATTTAGTTTTAGAGATCTTTATTTAAGTTAACATAACCAGGATAAGATGTAATGAATGTTTGTGATATAGAAATGGGCATTCACCGAAGTGTGCCATGACTTGTGAATAAATTATATCAGTCCTTCTCTGTAATGATTTATATTATATCAGAAAGTGATATGACAATGTGAATGCCACAGCATCTTTAAGATGTATGTACACATATATACAGTGTGTACAGGTTAGTACCTATATACTTATATAGATATGCCTGCATTTGTGTGTAACATACTTTTTAAAAAGTGTGAATAGTCTTGGTGAGTGGCTTGAGAACTGGGTCATGGTTAAGTCTCTGAGGTGTTCTCTAGCAGTGAATATGGTTTTTCACATGATTTCATTATGTCCCTTATAGGTAACACTGGTGTTAATTAAATGAGATCCACTGATAAAATGTCTTTTGTGAGAGCATTTTGACATCTTTCTTTATTCAGATTGGCAGACATTAAGTTAGCATTTGCATCTTGAATGCGCCTGCTCAGTAAGCACCACTTAAAACAGAACCTGACTAGAAAGCGCTCTGGGAACTCCATGCTTCATCAGGACCTACCAGCACCAACGGGGCAGCATTTCAGAAAGTTAATTCTTATATACCAGGATACCTCCTACCCTCAATCGACTCTTGCATTTTTGCTTTCAGTTTCATCTGGGCTTTCAGGCACTCACCGTTTCCCTTCATTGGTCCCTTTTAGCAGTGGCACTTGGTGTGAGATGGTACCATTAGTGGTACTCCAAAGGAATGGGCTTCCAACCTCGGAGACCGAAGCAGACCTGTACAGGGTGACCCTGAAACTCACCGAGGGGACACTGCCAAGTCACCAGAGGAGGGACACCGAGGCTAGCTGGCATGCCCAGTGACAAGCTGGACTCACACAAAGAGGCATTGCACAGCACAGACTGACCCACGGCCTCTCCAGCAGCCAGCGTCTGTCTTCATGTGTTTCTGTGTGTTCTCTGTCTCCTGTATGTGGGGGCAGAGGTGCCAGGTGGAACGCAGCTCCCTCGACCCACCCCGTCAGTGACACTCAGGGCTCATGTCCCTTCTAAAAGGAAACTGCAATGAATGGGCACCTTTGCTGTTGTTCATGTGGCTTTTCACACTGGTGTACCTGCTCCTGTGCAGGTGGCAACAGGGTTGCTTTTGCTGTTCCCCAGGGTTGCTTTTTCTCCTCCCCTGTCTGAGGAGAAGGCCGGGAAGCTGCATGCTTTCCCCACTGCCACAAATGAGCACTTCTGCCATTTCCACAGCACTTCTTCTTTCACTAAGGTAAGCCACCTGCTGGAAAAATAGGCTAAATTACTTTGAAACTTTAATTACTGACACTTTTCTCTTTGGGCCTTTCTGAAATGCCAGCTTTGATTCCCTTCGGTTTTGCATACAGACTGTGAAAGTGGTTTAGCCGTGTGTCTTCGTGTGTACACATCTACACCCATCTTTTCTTTATTAATAAGAGGTGTCTGGGTCACAGTCCCAGATCAACTCTGCATTAAATTCCAGCCTCTACAACACAGACAGGAAAGCAGTTTCAAAGGAGAACAAGATGCAATACACAGTGAAAATTGTGGCTTGATATTTGCTTCCCCTCAATTCAACTCAGAAAAACAATAATTAGGAGGCAAAAATAAGAAGCCTTCACTCTCATCCCTGCTAAAAAAGCACACTGGCCTGAGACGCTGCTGTCTTAAAGTGCAATTACTGTTGTGAAGTTGTTCAGGCCTCAGGATCAGGCTGGATGGAGTTCAAAGCAGAAACTTCAAACACTGTGGCTGTTCATGACTGGGGCGGTGGGGAGGGAGGGAGAGGAGAAAAGGAAAGAAGGTTCTCAGGCATTCAAGTGCATCAAAAGAATAAATGTCCTTTTCTTTTGGCAAAGAAGGTCTATAAATTGTAAGGAATTCTTGCTTGTAAAAATAAAACTTTCTAAAAACTCCTATCTGAGGATGTCCCAGTACAGTAGAGTCCAAAAGCAGGCCAGCACAGCCAATGGCAGGGCCTGGCCACCGTGCACAGGGGCCTGGCCATATAGGCGGCTTCCGCTGTCTTCTGAGATGTCCTCAGCTCTGGGTGAAGAGGAGGCACACTGGACAAGGGGCATCTGGTAGGATGTAGCCCTCTTCTCTGGTCTGTCAGGGCTAGACCCATCGCTGGGCCTCTGGCCGTTGAACAGCAGGTAGCGTCCCCGGGCATCCTGTTCCATTTTGAAGATCTCATATTCTGTGTGAGGTAGTTTGATCCCAAGGGCCACACAGCCATTGGTGTGTGTCACATCCTGCTGGATGCCCACCTGCCAGGAGCCCTCGGCCCCACACTCATTCCCATTGAAGACATTGAGCAGTGAGGCTGTGGCTGCATCCATGGGGGTGACCTTCATGTGATTCACTGTGAAAGAGAGAGGATACTCTCTGACTGGGGGACCAGGAGAGAGGACACTCCATGACTGAGGTAACAAGAGAGACCATTCCCTGACTGAGAGACCAGGAGAGAGGACATTCACTGGCTGAGGGACTAGGGGAGAGGCCATAACATGACGAGGACCAGGAAAGAGGACACTCCCTGACTGAAGGACCAGGGAAGAGGCCATTCCCTGACTGGGGGACCAGGGGAAGGACACTCCCTCACTGAGAGACCAAGGGAAAGGACACTCCCTGACTGAGGAGAGGACACTGCCTAACTGAGGGACCAGGAGAGAGGACACTTCCTGATTGGAGGACCAGGTGAGAGGCCATTCCCTGACTGAGAGACCAGGAGAGAGGACAGTCCCTGACTGAGGGACTAGGAGAGAGGCCATGACCTGACTGAGGGACCAGGGGAGAGGCCATTCTTTGACTGGGCAACCAGGGGAGAGGCCATTCCCTGACTGAGGGAACAAGGGAGAGGCCATTCCCTGACTAGGGGACCAGGAGAGAGAACACTCCCTGACTGAGGGACCAGGAGAAAGGCTATTCCCTGACTAGGGGACCAGGAGAGAGGACACTCCCTGACTGAGAAACAAGGAGAGAGGACACTCCCTGAATGAGGGACCAGGGGAGATGACATTCCCTGACTGGATGACCAGGAGAGAGGACACTCCCTGACTGAGGGACCAAAAGAGATGACACTCCCTGACTGAGGGACCAAGGGAGAGGACACTCCCTGACTGAGGGACCAGAAGAGAGGACACTCCCTGACTGAGGGACCAAGGGAGAGGCCATTCCCTGACTGAGAGACCAGGAAAGAGGACACTCACTGACTGAGGGACCAGGAGAGAGGCCATTCCCTGGCTGAGGGATCAGGACACTCTCTGAATGAAGGACCAGGGGAGATGACATTCCCTGACTGAGAGACCAGGAGAGAGGACACTCACTGACTGGGGGACCAGGAGAAAGGCCATTCCCTGGCTGAGGGATCAGGAGAGAGGATACTCCCTTAATGAGGGACCAGGGGAGATGACACTCCTTAACTGAAGGACCAGGAGAGAGGACAGTCCCTGACTGAGGGACCAGGAGAGAGGACACTCCGTGACTGGGGAACTAGGAGAGAGGCCATTCTCTGACTGGGGGACCAGGGGAGATGATACCCCCTGACAGAGAGACGAGTACGGGGTACAGAAACCCACTGGGCAAATGCAAGCCTCATTCCATCTCCACAAGGTTTTCTTCTTTTCAAAAAACAATCCTGTCTATAAACCCACACACTTGGCCACAGTGTTGCTGGAGCATTTTCAGTCATCCCAAGCACTGTAGGCTGATGCACTGGTGTATAAACACCAAGCCCAGCCCACAGGGCACCGTGCTGGTGAGTGTGGGATAAACTATAGCAGAGTGCTCCCAAGGAGCTGCACTGGTGACACTGACAGTTCAGAGTGAAAAACATTTTCAGCAGAGGCCAGAATTTTGCTTTTATGAAAAGGTTTTGAAGTTTCTAAGTGTTTCAGTGTCATGCACCTAATCCTCTCACACATTGATACAGGCCCATAAAATTGGGCATTTAAAATAAGTTAGGATGCAAGCAAGAAAAATACGATGGAATTAAATAGAAGTCCCACGGCTTGTAGAAATTGCATTTGAAGGTCTTCCCAGGGAACCACATTCCATGTCTAACATGATTAGCTCTGGGGTGGAAGCAGCTAAGATTGTTAAGTTTATCAAATGCCAGTGTTTCTGAATGAACCTTCCTTCCCAAAAGGAGGGGCCAAGGTGCTCTAGGACTTAACTGGGTCGACAGAAATACTTCATGGTAATCAGCTCAAATGGTGGAATGCTGTCCCGGAGGAGTCACCAGGATCTAGGTCATCCTTTATTTATTTGGCTTGACAGGCTGATGCCAATATTACAAAGATGCTCAAACTTAAAAAAAAACAAACAAACAAAAAAATCTTCTAAAAATGGAACCACAAGACCCCCCTTGCTGATAGCCTAGTGCAGCCAATACCTTCCCTCCTTGTTCAGGAGATAAGCACCCGGTCCCACCCTTCTTCCCAAAGAAGCTTCCACCTTCACGTCTGCAGTCACCTCTTAAGTGTGGGGCAAGCTCAGGGCTAGAAACGACAGTTCCAACCTCAGAGGTGTCACTGACACCTCCTCTCATTTACTCCCTGAGAAAGCACTGGTTTCCTGGCAGTAACATCCTTGGTGGCCACACCTGACAACTGCCTGCTGTGTGGGGAGTGGCTCCTCCAGCACCAGGCCTGGGACTGAGGCTGTTCACCTTGGCCCTTGCACCAGTTAGGAAGATCTCACAGGGCATGTGGACTGCCTCGAGGCAGGAATGACTGCTGTTTCTTCCCCAGCATCTTAAGCAAGAAAGGGGGCCCTTCCCTCAGGCTCTGCCTGCATGAGAAGGTCATAGAACCGCTCATTGGCCCTTACTGGGATTCCAGGTGGGAATCTTACCTTTGAACACAAACTCTGTGCCTCCCATGACCCTGGAGGACAGCACACCACGGCTGTAGCGGCCACGGGCATAGATGGTGAAGGTGGGGTGCTTGCAGACAGGGTCTGAGTAGTGGTAGTAGTGCCCCTCCCAGGTGTTGTTGTTGTCATGGAAGATGAAATGGCGGGTGAGGAAGAGGACCTCAGGGCGCACTTCACAGCGCTGGCTCACCCACTCACCATGCAGGCCAATGGTCAGGTCGGCCTTGGGGGGCAGGATGGGTGGGTGGTGCTCATCCGACCGGTAGATGATCCGACAGGCTATGCAGGTGTGATCGTGGTGCTGCAGCCAAGAGACACACACACTCAGAGGCCCCCGTCCTTCCCCCAAAGCTGGGTGCATGTGCTTCCCTACAAGAGGGTCTCACTGGGCTGGGACTGGGCAAGGCACCAGGGCCACTATCACTTATATAACCTCCATACCCCAGAAGCAGCTGGAGCCCTGCCTGGGTGCACAGAGCAGAACATGCATGTGCACATTCACACATGCTCACTCACATGCACACGCATGCTCAATGCACTCACAGTGCACATCGACACATGCACTCATGTGCACACTCACAGTACACAGTGCATTCATATGCTCACTCACACATGCTCAGTGCACTCATGTGCTCACTCATGTGCACTCAGTGTATACTCATGTGCTCATGCACAGTGGACTCACATGTGCTCACTCAGAGTACTCACACATACTCATGCATTCACGTGCTCACTCAGTGCACTCACATGTGCTCACTCAGTGCTCACACATACACGTGCACTCACATGTGCACACTCATGTGTGTACTCACATGTGCTCACTCAGTGCAAACTCATGTGCTCACAGTGCACACTCACATGTTCGCTCATGCTCAGTGCACACTCACACATGGTCACTCACAAGTGCATCTGTTTGCCTGGCAGAATGACCTGCCTATATAGTTCACCTATGATACGAACTCTCCTTACAACTTATTACGTTTTCAGACATGTGCTGGATACTTGATTTCAAAGAGAATCACAACACTTCACATTCGTTAGGATGGTTGATAGCCAAAACCCAAACATTAAAAAGTTGATGAGGATGTGGAGAAATGGGAAACCTTGCACACTGCCAGTGAAGATATAAATGGTACATCTTCTATGGAAGATAGTAGGGTGGCTCCTCAAAAATTATGTAGAAGTGGGATCCAGCAATCCCACTTCTGGATACACTGTACACCTAAAAGGACTGACAACAGAGACTGCAGCTGATGTTCCCACACTCCCGTGTACAGCACCATTATTCACAGCTCACGTGCCCACAGACAGACAAACAGGAAAGCAAGCAGTGGTCTGTCCACCCAGTGGATATGAGTCAGCCTTACAAAGAAAGGAAATTCTGACATAGGCTCCAGCATGGATGAGCCCTGCAGACACCGTGCTAAGTGAAATTAACTAGACATACAAGGACAACTATTTATGATCCCATCTACCTGAGGTACCCAGAGGGACCACAGAGAACAATACAGACGGGTGGGTGCAGGGGTTGGGGGTGGGGACAGGGGCGTTGGTGTTTCATGGATCTGGGGGTTCTATTTGGGAAGGTGCAAAGCTCTGGAGCTGGATGGTGGTGACGGTCACACAACAATGTGAATGTATGTAATGCCATAACTTATGCTTAAAAAGTGGCTAAAACAGTAAAATTTTATGTTATGTATATTTTACCACAACTAAATATTTTTTAATTTAATTAAAAATATGGGACAAAAGACCAGCACCCTAATGGCTGAGGATGAAAGGGAGTTGTCTAATAAAGGCAGTGGGCCTTTCAAAGGAAGGGGGTGAAGCTGGAGGCCCAAAGGCAGTGAGAGCCAGAGCCCTGAGCAATGCCCACACCTACATACCTGCTGCCTGCTGGGTCTGCTGCCTCCAGCTTTGGAAGTTTTCTGGTCTCTTACTTTGCTTCTTGCTTTTCCAGCCTTAAGCAATGTACTGCGTGCAAGCCAGCTATGGCTCTGTCTTGGAGGACTGTTTGTCTTGCTGAGCCTTCTGTAACATGACAGGCTGGGGATGAGGGCAGTCCAGGTTTGTGGCACAGGAAGGTCTCCAGTGACAGAGAGTATATTTCAGAGACAGGGGCCTCATCCATGCTTTTAGCCTGGAGGGCTTTGGCCTGTTACAAAAAGCCGACTCTGGAAGTCAGGCGCTGGTTGTTGACCACTTCCCATTGCCTCACTGTTAGACTGAGGTCACAGCAAGCCAGGGCTGCTGTGCTCTGCACTTGGGGGCACCTCTCTGCTATTCTCCTACTGTGTGAAGAGGGAGGCTGTGAAGCTCACCGATCTAGCAGAACACTGGGTACTAGAAGAACATGTCCATCTCATCAGGCTGGAATGGGAAAATAGAGGAGTGCAGCTCAAGATATGGGGCCACTTGGCCACTGGGTCCGTGCCCCCCTGTGCAGGTGCAGCCCCACACCTGCTCTGTGGCTGCAAGATGGTCACTATTGGGGAGGCATTCACTTGTCCTCCAACGCTTGTTTCCTGAGGTCAAAGACCTCAAGCAGCAGGGTCTTCATGTTTCCAGTCCCCTCTGCATGTGATTTTGTTGTGGCTGGTGTTTGGCTGGACATGAGGCCTTCTTGGGGATGGGGGCAGGGAGTTGTGGTGACGGTCTCACAACAACGTGAATGTTTGAGGATAGTTCTGCCCTTGAACCATCCTCCTCTGAGAGCTAACTTGTACTGCTGATGTGCTCATCAGATAAGCTGGAAGTTGCGAGGAGAGAGGGTTTCCTCTGCTAATATGGTTCAAGGCTTGTAGACGATGGGATAAAATGGCCACAGCAGTGAGATGAGGCCAAGTTCTCAGCGTCCTGGGCGAGGGTGCATTTTCTGGCCTCTGGTTTCCTATCAAGAGTTCTGGGGCACACAGAGAAAGTGCCCTGTAGCTGTAGTGCCCTGCAGCTGTACCCAGTCTGCCCCTGTGATTCTTAGGGGACATGGAGAGGGGACAGTGCCTTCATGACGTTAGGCCCATGCTCAACTGTGACACAGATGGAGATGGCCCCGGCTAGATTCTAAGGACCACAGGTCAGTTCCTAGCCACTTCACAGCTGGTGACCTTGGGCAATTTATTTGTTTTTATTTATTTCAACTCCCTCATTTACACAGTAGTGGTCATTATACTGGTCTAACTGCTGCAAGAAATGCAAGGTGGCTCCCCCTCAGGTACCGACTGGGTACAGACACTGAGCGGACAACCTGTGTGCCACAGACGTGTCACTGTCTTCTGGATGCACACTGGGGTGAGTGACACACAAATGGAGCTAAAAGCTTCACAGAGTTGAGTAGCTTTGGCATTATGTTTTCTTAGTAAACTACTATGGGGCAAAGGTTCTAAAATTTCTACCCTAAAGGGTGGTTCTGATATTTGAAATCCAGAATGGAAGGTGAAAATGGTGGAACATGCCCAATCTGGGGTTCCTGCACAAGGCAAGCAAAACCCCCAAGTGCCAGGACCATCATGGAAATTGGCGTGATGTTCTCCTGTCACTGCCTGTTCACAAAGGCATGGAGGCCTCACAGGAGTCACCCAGCCTGCACCACAGTCAGCAGCACCTCTGCAAGAGCCCCATGGGGGTGGGGGCAGAGAGGCTGTTAGGAGCACTCAGTCGAGGTAGGAGACAGAGACATGTGATCTCTAAACTGCTCCATTTGTAGCTCATTGCTGCAGCGAGACACTGCCACAGGCCCTCAAAGGCCTGAGATGGGCAGCCCCACTTACTTACACTGACCCCAACCCGCTTCCTGCCACTCCCCCCAACTGGGTTTGCTATCTGTAATTTGGGAGTTTAAAAACATCAACTGTGATTCCTTCAGCCTCAAACACCACTATTGATTCAGGAAGCTGCTTAGATGGGGGCCAGGAGGAAGGGAAACAAGTCAGGTCTAGCAAGAGTTGCTACTGGAATGTCCCCAGGAGCAACCACTGTACAGCTCAGACAAGGAGAAGACAGGAGGGGAGGTGGGCACAGCATCACCCGGGCAGTTTCAAAGCAGTGCCATACTGAGGGGGCTGAGCTGGGTGCCCGTTCCAGCTAATGCTTCCTGAGAACAGCTGGGCTGGGGCCTGAGCTCCAGGACGAGGAGCTGGTGGAACTTGGCCCCTCCAGGTGAGTGACAGCCCTGGGCTGAAGTGTTTCTGTGTGACAGCAGAGAAGAGGAGGACAGAAGGTTCTGGGGGAAGAGGCTTGTTTTCCATCAGTTGGGTCTGTTGGCATTGAGGGTGGGCATAGGGAGCGGGAGGATCCTTGTTCTCAGGTATTGGTCTTGCTAAATTCTGAAACTAGTTTTTTGTTTTATTGTGATAAGAAATACATAACATAGAGTTTGCCATCTCAACCAGTTTTAAGTGGCTTCCCCCTGTTGTGGAACCATCCCCACCGTCCCTCGCCCCAAACCCCTTTATACTCCTCAACTGTAACTCTGTACCTATTAAAAAATAGTCCCCCATGCCCAGTCCCTGGCAGCCGCCATTCTACTGTCTTCATGGGTGACCTCTGATGAGTGGAAGCTGAGGAGTCGTAAACTGTTGGCCTTTATTTCACTGAGCATGAGCTCCTTAAGCTTCATGCGTGTCTGAGTTTCCATCCTTTCAAAGGCTGAACAATATTGCCTCATGTGCACCTGTCACATTGTGTTTACCCGTTTACTCTCAATAGACACTTAGGTTGCTTCTACCTTTCTGCTACTATGGATAATGCTGCCATCACCAGGGGTATACGCCAATCTGTTCCAGTCCCTGCTCTTAATTCTTTTGGGTATATATCCAGAAACGGAACAGCTGTGTCATATAAGAATCTTACATTTATTTTTTTGAGGGACCACTCAAGAAAAGTGAGTTTCTGCAGTGGCTACAGAATTTTACATTCCTACCAGCAATGCACAGGGATTCCAATTTCTCCACATCCTCATTGACACCTGGTATTTTCCGGTTGTTATTGTTTTCTTTTCTTTTTTTGTAATAGCCATCCTAACAGGTAACTTGGCATCCCACTGTGGTTTTGATTTTCCAATGATTAGTGATGCTGAACATCTTTCCATGTTCCTACAGATAATTTGAAAATCCAAGCCCTTCTCTTGGGGACTTTCAAATTATTTTGCTTCTGTTGTCATTGGCTAGTTACTTTTTCAAACAACTCTTTAGCTGTCATTAGAGCTAAAAACAAAGATGTCACAAGTGGGGGTAATATTTTGGCCTTGTGGATACTGTCAACAGGGAACAGGTTTAGCCATGGTTATACGAGGAGACACCTGTT